TCTGCAGTGAGGAAACCACATCTGCAGATTAAACATTTTAAAAGCCCTTTTCAAAGCTCAGCTCTTCTGGAATGTTTCCTGAGGTTTCCTGCTTTGAAAATCAGAGCAAAAGTAGCCGAAAATGAGTAGGGAGTAGACACCTTTGGCCACTTTGGAGGAAGGAAAGTTCGGCCAGAGGTCTGTGGGATGAGAACAAATGGTTCTATTTCCCCCTGTGAGTGGTGGAATGTGTGTATGGGCACACTCTGGGCACTATTGATTGCAAGTAAGAGATAAATCTCTGTCCTTTAGGGTTACCCTTCAGGGTGATAAACTTTGTGCTGTTTTTTCTGCATCCCGGCAGCTGATGCACACATGGACGATTCCACTTGGCTGCCTGCAGAGCCCTTGGATCTTTGATTCTGTTACTGGTACTGAGCGCTTTGGCTTCTCCTCTGACCTGGACCATGGCAAGATCTTGCAGTAGCAGCAGCTCAGCCAGCACAATTCTGGTTTTGCTTTTCCTGCTCTCCTCCCTCCTTGCCTTACTCAAGAAATTTGCAAAATTGTGCTGGGCATCTCAGGCTTCTGGCAGTGCTTGTCTGCCATCTTGATGGGCAGCCTGCAAAACTCCTTATGGTTAGTGTCATTCTAGGGTATGGTTCCCTGCCATTTTGAGGCTGGGTATTTATGAAAACAGTATGTGAGCCTTAAAATGCCCAGAAAACAGTTTAAAAAACAAAACCCTAACATCTTGGCTATATCAGTGTGTAAATTGCAAAACTCATAACTTTGCAGCTTTGCCCAGTGTGCTGTGCCCACCCTTTCCCTATAGGGCCTGGGAGGGTCTTGATGCCACATGGAAACATGTTGGACTTGATGTGTCCCTGAGCAGAAGTCTCTTGGTGCCCCTTTTTCTCCACTTGAGTATATGAATCCTGCAACACTCTCTTCCAGGAAACTGGGGGTTTCAAGGGATGCTGGTGTCCTTTCAGGTTCTCCTCCTAGATACAAGAACCTCACTTGGGCAACTTGCTTTGGATAGACCTTCCCATTCTCTTTTTCCTCTGCAACTGTGGGCAGAAGGTCTCTGGGAAAGGGATAGATTTGGGGAAGGCAGGAGACCAGGCAGCACTGAATTTAAGCCTGAATCCCATTAAGTTCAAGTGGAAAGATCCCATTCTGGTAGAACTTACAGGAAAAAGATCCAGCTCAAGCCCGATTGAAGCAGCTTGTAAAATGCAGCACAATTTTGTTTCTCAACCAGGAATTGCTGCCTTCTTTATAGTTTTATCTCTTTAGGTACTTTTCTTTCCAAAAATTAAGAAACAAATCTTGGTTTTTGGATGCCCCAGTGGACAGCTTTTTTTTTTTTTTTTTTTTAAGAACTTGTCCTGTTATTGGATAAAAGATGTTTCCTTTATTTGAACTGAATTCTTTAGCTTTACGTGAAGAGGGCCAGGGTCCTTTGATGAAGGTTAGCAAAGCACTGACCTCAACACCCCTTAAAGTTTTCCAGGTGGTCTGTTAAGCACAGTGACAGAAACATATATTAAATTCACATATAGGATTTACAAAGTTTGAGCACAGAAAATATTCTGTGACAGGAAACTGGGACTGCTTTAGAGTAAATTGGTATAATTTTAAGTATTCTTATTATAGCAATGTCTGTTGGTCAGAGTCCAATCTGTGAGAAGATTCATCTGTTTGCCTATGTTTGCCTAACCATGTTTGGTTAAGTCACAATTGTTTAGGCTTGCACATTGCTATAAACCCTGGCTAACAAAAGACAGAGTTTGTAAGAGCCAGTGTAGGATAGTGATCATGGTATTGGATCAAGATTGGTGGCTGGGTTCTAGTCCCTCGTCAGCCATGGAAGCTCTCTTGATTACTTATCACCCAACATTACTCAGCCCAAGAGGAGTGTGGTCAAGTGGAGAAGGTGCTGGACTAAGAGTGGGGAGACCCAAGTCCTAGTCCCTCTCAGCCCAGAAGCTCATTAAACCCTAGGAAGCCATTACAAAAACCTCCCTCTGTGAATAAAAATGGCTTCTGGGAAGTGAGTTGCTTCTCAGAGACTCCAGTTCTGAAGAAACTGGACTATTTTGTGGATCTAGGTGTAGGAATCCCTATGGTCCCACAGAGTTTGGCAAGGAAGGTGGGGAGGCACTCTTATCTGCTTGCCTTCTGCCACTCAAGAGGAGCTCCAGCTGCTTCCATTTATGGTTCTTGCTGGGAGTTAGTTATACAAAGACTGTCTTCGCACATTATGCTAAGCTATGGTTGGATTACCCATGATTTACTACATAAACCATAATTGGCTGGATTCACCCAATGCTCGAAGCCATAAGCTGTGATTTATAACTGGAATGGGTAGGTTCATGCAATTAGTTTTTCTCAAGATGCCATCCTCCAGTGAAGTGTTGGGTTTGCAAATCCCTAAATTACCCAGCAGCAGAACCAAGCATTTGCTGAAATTCATTTGGAGAAAGAAAGCGTGATAGTCTGGGTGCCAGATCCCTGGTATGTCCTGTGCAGCCCTTACACTTAGGTCTTTTCTGGGGTGTTCCACACCACACCCACTTTTACCCAGGCAAGGCATCCTTCAGAGATGTTGCTAAACAGAGATATTGCTAAACTTGCCCTGCTGTGCTAGAACTGGGATGTTCACTCCTCTGTACAGGTTGGGGATTTGTGCCATGCTAAACCATGATTTATTTTAACTATGGTTTCTTGGATAAGCCACACAGTTGGCTGAGTTTCTGTAGTATGTTAAACCATAAACAATAGGTAAACTTATTCAAACCACTATGAATAAGATAATACAACATGTTTAGTTGAAGCCAAACAGACTCTATTCTCATTTAGTACATTGTGCGAACTTGCATTTGGACAACGCAGTAAGCCATGACTTCACCCTAGTTGACTGACTTGATTTCAGTTGTATACTTCATGCAACATTGCAGATAGCACTGGCTGGATTTGTTTAATACCCAGCGTTTGCCTTGGCATGCTCTGCAAACTCAGCAGGATGTGGCAGCCCAGATAGGAACATGTGAAGTGCTTCTGCCTAAAAAACAGGCTCTCCGTGTTTTTGGAAGGGCAGGTGGAGGCTTTGTCTTGGGTTCAGTGAACGGAGCTCCTGTCTCTGATCTGCCTGGCAGCCTTTGCCAGTTGAAAATAAGTTGCCAACTTATTTTCAGAATTTGTGTTTGCATCTCAAAGAGGTTTGGCCCTTGAGCTTCATGGAACAATGCTTACAGATTAACAGTTTCTTTTCAGTATGTTGTCTGATACTTAAAATGTTCATTTTGGACTTCAGAAGCTGAAGCTTCCTCATTGCTGCTATAAAACAAAGGTTGTCTGCAGTATTCCAAGAAAACTGTATAATAATTAATACATCAGGGAGTGCTGCATGCTCAGGTTAATGGGGTTTGGTCCTTATTTTCTCTGTTTTTGTAACAGCTCAGCATAGTAACAGTGGAAAAACTTAAAAGTGCAACTGTTCTTTTTCCAAAAAGGTGGTTTTGTACAGAGCGTGCTTTAGTTGATAAAATCCGCTTCAGGTAACCAGCCAGTAGTAGGTGAATATGCAAATGTGGGATATTTAGCTCTGAAGCTGGTTGATACTGAAATCTGGGAAGTAGGCTAGAATTTGGAAATCCTGCTTTCTTTCTCTTCCCTTGTCTTCCCTCTGACTTCAACATGGAGCATGTGATGCAAAGAAAGAAACACTTGATCTGTTTTGTATCCTATTTTTGTTATTTTATTGTGTTATTTTATCTTAAGCTGCTAGGAGTCCTGAAGAGTTGGCGGGATACACATTTGGTCAATAAATGCGTAATAATTGGCAAACTTGCCTTTTATTTCTTGGTACTGTTATTCCACCAAAATACAGAAATACATTTCTGAAAGATGGGATCTGCCCTTGTGGGTCATGAACAGGCTAAAAACATTGAATGGAAGAGGAGGCAGACCCCTGTGGTTCAGGATTCCTCTTGACCAGCATCCCTTGATGGACCTCTGGCTCATTATTATTAATCACTGATCATTTTTCATCTACAGTATTATAATAACTGGAGATAGATCAGTTGCTCTCCTTTTTGGATGAAATGAAAATTCTAGATTCACTAAGAGGCTTAATTCTAAACCCAAGTTAACATAATGACTGTGCCCATGTGACATGCCCAATATGATGGTTTAATGTGGTGTCCTGGTTCCCATGATATGTGGGCTTAGTGGGCCAAGATATTGTTTGGTTCCCATATGTTGAACCACAAATTCTCTACTCCATTTTAGCCTAGTCCAGTTTTCTCAAAGTGTAATCTGAGGGCCCCAGAGGGTCCCCCAACACCTTCTCAGTGGTCTGTGAAATCAAAATTATTTGCCAGCCTATGCTGAAAAATAATACAATATTAAAATCCCATCAAACAATTGTGAGAGGCAGTAGTGGCAGCAGATGTATCAATTTTAATTTTTAATATGGTAAATATCAATAAATATAACCCATATAAACAAAAGCTCTTTTGGGGTCCTCCATAGTTTTTAAAAATGGAAAGGGGTCCTGAGCAAAAAAGGTTAAGAAACACTGGCCTAGTCTATTATATGAATCCTTCCATGATGTGGATCCCTTCTAATATGATTTCAGGTTCAGTTTTAAAACTGAAGTTTTAAATTGGGCATTTGTGGGGTGGCCTGAGGAAGGAGCTATCCTTGTTGGTCCTGCTGGACTTCTCAAAGATCTTTGATAGCAACAGGGTTTAACCTTGTTTGGGGCATGTGACCTGTTCAGGGCTTGGGAGCACTGATTTATAATACTGTAGTCTTTTCTGGTTGAATGTTCTCAGAAGACTGCAAACTATTCTGTGAATCATTTTTCTTTGGGGCCCTGCTTGACTTCTACACTAGGTGAAATCCAGGGATGTTATCCAAATGCAACAGTGAGGCTTAAATCTTCCTTAATGAATGCTCTTTGATCCTGATTGAAGGTGGTGTTTCTCTGCCCATTTAGTCTATGTATGTTGTCTTGCACACAGATGTTAATTTTGCTTCCTCTTTCCAGGGCAACGTTTTGGCTGGGGAATGAAACCTTACGAGTCTCGGCAGCGCTTTTTGCCTTGAATAGAACTCGCTTGTGTGATCGGCTGAGAGCAAACAAGGATGTTCCAAAGAACGCAATTGTCATCTTGCAAGGGGGAGAGCAGACCAACCGCTACTGTACTGATACAGGCATTATTTTTCGCCAAGTGAGTTTTGTGGTAACAAATTTCAAGCATATCTTTTGTTCCTATTCTTGCAGCTCTTCTCTCTGGATTTCTTAATGGCATTCTATTGAAATTCCCTGGGCAGTTTTCACCTTCTTTTTTAGCTGCTGGTGATTTTCCAATCCTTCTTTGAGCTCCAAAGCACTTATTTTGAACACAGAACGCATGTTCTAAAAGATGTGTGTAAAATGCATCAAACCAATTCTTCTGGCTGTTAACATCCACTCTTGTAGCATTGTCAGCTCATAAAATCAGTCTATGTACTAGCTGAATCGTTGCTTTGTGTGAGTTGTTTTGCCTTTTGTGTATAGCAGTTTAAACCAAATGTTATATTTAGTATACAGATGGGAATTCTCTTTAACACAAAGAATATGGAAATGGTTTCAAACATTTATTTTATTTTAGGTCAGAGACCAAATTTAAAGACAAAAAATAAAAATGCATGCAGAACAAGTAAAATGAATTATAAACATCCAGCCTCAGATAAGATACCAAACACTTCTAGTTTATATCCAGATCCATCAGCCTTGTGATACCTGAACTTATGTGTCTGGCTTAAATATGAAATGGTTACACAGTGCACAAGCCATTTCTGGGGTCTTATCAGTAGCACCAAGCAATTTTGCTTGCCAGCTTCTCTCTCTGGTTTGCAAAATAGTTGAAAGAGTTGTCTAAATGTAGGGTAGAGCAGTACTAACTTTGCCTGCTGTTGACCATGGATAGACACAGTTTGCAGGAGTCTGGAAGTAGCAGAGACCAGATGATCACGTAACCATTTTGCAAAAGGCAAAGACGGGCTTGCCAGCAACATCAGCTTCTGAAACTTTGTAGAGTAAGTATTTTATGGCAAACAACCCCAAAAGTTGCAGAGTTGTGGTCTATTAAACTGTGTTTAATAGACCACAAAGTAAACTCACATACAATGGCTGGCTAGGAATTATGGGACCTGTGGTCAGGCCCAAATTTGAATGTGAATCTCTCATTCAGATCCCCCCATTGGAGATAAGGAAGGCAGTTATTTTTTGGGAGGTGGTGTTTAGCCATGGCATTGCAAACCTCTAAAGCTGGACCCCTACTTGGTTGTCACTTAAGCACTGAGGAAAAGAGTTTTGATTCTTCCTTTATTTTTAAAACCGCTGTGTGTGTTAACTTTCTTTTTAAAGTGCTTTTAGTAATAGCATTTGCTTTTGTATATATTTGTATTGTAAGTCAGCCTGGGGTGTGTGTATATATTATGAAGAGCTGCTATGCATATTTAATGCCACAAATCAATCTTTTTTTCTCACATACTGTCTGTATGAATGATAATTTTGTGTTTACAAAGACCTTAAGGTATACATAGTGCTTGATTATGTGCCATCAAATTGGTGTCAACTCTTACCCAAGGTGATCTGTTCCCAACGGGCTCTTTGGGTCATCTAACGATGCACCCATCGCCACTGTAATTGAGTCCATCCCCCTTGCTGCTGGTCGTCTACTTCTCTTTCCTTCCACTTTTCCTAGCATCAGAGCCTTCTCTGGAGAGCTAGGTCTTCACATAAAGTGTGATAATTTGAGCCTGGTCATTTGTGCCTTGAGTGAGAACTCTGAGTTGATTTGTTTGATGATCCATCATTTTGTTTTCTTAGCTGTCCACGGTATTCTCCGGAGTCTTCTCCAACACCAAAGTTCAGAAGTGTCAATACTCTTCCCATCTTCAAAGTCCAACTTTCGCTTCCATAGAGTGTCACAGGGAGTGCCATGGCTTGCACGATTCTGATTTTTGTAGTACAGCACAGCACTTGAATATCTTTTCCAAGGCCTTCACGGCTGCTCTACCAAGTGGCTAGTCTGTGGTGTATTTCTTGACTGCTGGTTCCTTTATTGTTGAGGGTGTACATAACACCTTGCATATATCATCTGATTGATTTAAAAAAACCTTCTGTTATGTTTCTAAGCCTTATTCTAAAAAGGGAAGCAGGCCTTATATAACATTTTAAGAATTGTAACTTTAGTAGGCTCTCACATTGTTATGAATTTTTGATAATTATTTTGGAATGATTTTGCAGCCTACAAGTTTAATAATACTTTGACTTTTCAAGCCAAATGAATTGGATTTTTCCTCATCCTGTAGTAAATTCTGGCAATGTCGAATAAGTTTTTTTGCAGTTCAAAACTCAGTGTCAAGTTCAGCTTCATATATTCAGCATGAAACTATCCTTCCTTGTTGCATTTGGTAAAAATCTGCCTTTGATTAGAATCTTTCTGCCTTCCCCAAAGTATATTTGAATAAGTTAGTTTTGCCTGCATGCACGATTCTCATCTTTGTAGGTATAGACACATCATAGCATCTGAATATCTTTTACAGGGCCTTCATGACTGCTCTATCAAGTGCTAGTCTGTGGTGTATTTCTTGACTGCTGGTTCCTTTATTGTTGAGGGTGTACATTAATGAAATGTTTAACTTCTTGCTCTTAACATGGAAGTTCTGAAACTTCTCACTGAGGATTGGAAGTGAGAGTAGTGCTATAATTATTCATGATGTTTAAGGAAATATTTTTTAACTGCTTTTTAGCATTTATTTCCATTTATGTAGCTGCCCCTCTGGGTGACAAACAACAAAATATTAAAACTTAAAACATACAATACAAACATATAACTCTATGGCTCTACCATTTTTCCAAGTTTACTTCCACATGCTGGCTTGTATTACAAATGTAACTGAAGATATTCAAAGAAAAAACTTGAGTGATCTTGCTCACGGTCTGGCCTCCCTGTTACCAGAACATTCTAACCCTGCAGCATTTTGTCAGACTTCAGACAGACTCATAGTGAAAAGCCCTTTGTCTTGGACTTCCTTCTGTTTCTCCCAGTAGCAGAGAGGGAACACAGCTGCTTGGCCAAAGCGAGAGTCTTTGGATACCCATCAATATGGAGAGAGTTGCAGTTCACCAGTCAGCATTCAGCTCATGGGGATGGAAATGAGCATGCTTGCTGCTCTTCCACGTTCAACTGAGTATGCCTACGACATGCAAGGGCATTGTGCTGACTCAGAGGTTCTGTCCTGTGCGCACTTCTAATACATTTTAGCTGGGCTTGCATAGCATTTGTAACAAGGTCCATTAAAGGTGAATTTCCATAGCACACACAGCTTGTTTTACCTTTAACCTTGGTTAGTTTTTGTAGGTTAATGTGTTATGTGAATGAAGCCAGTGGAGCTAGTTTTATGGTGGAGTGTATTGTGCAAAGCCTAAAAATGGTGAATGTAGAAACCAGGGTAAGTATGTTTTATGAACCCATCAACTGAACTGTAGCAGCTTGTCTTGAGACCAACCAGCGATGTACGTCTGCTAATATAAGGCTTCTGTAATAACTGGCCATTGGGCCCACAAGGTTGCATGCTTGCAGACTGTTGCTTTGAATATGCATATGGGTTGGGATAAGGAACACAGCCTGTGAGTAAATGCAGTTCTGCTGCCCTCCGCTCACCCCAAATATCTGCACTTTCCAACTTTCTTGGGTTGGAAAATTTTGACTTCAAAATGTTTTATGCATCTCTAATTAAAACCACATTTAAATATATAACTGTCCTCCTTTAATTCCTTTTGCTCAGTACTTTTTTTTTTTTTTTTACTCTGTGCTTAGCATAATATCACTTACACCAAAAAATAAATTGTGTGATGGGGATATATCTACTACTAAAACCATCCACATGTACATGTTCTAGCTGCCCTTGCAAAGTTGGAGGAGGTGGGGCCCAATGCAATTCCCAGGATAAGGAGTTACCATGCTGGCTCTTATCCTGCCAAGGTAAATTGAAAGGAGGAGTATGGTGGGCTGTATGACTGATAACCATGTGGGGAATGTCAGGTGAACACTAAGGGCTGGAGGCTCTTTGATGCAGCTTTTGCCCTGATATGTTTTGACCACAGAGAGATTGATTTACATGGATTTCTCCCGGGAACTCTGAGTGCCCACAGTAGCCCATGGCTGTAGCAGTAACTCAGGCCTGGCATAGTAGTTGGGCACTGGCTTTGTATGCCACATTCAGTTCCTGGCAGGACTAAGAAAGAGCCATGGGCTGAGGTCAATCAGTGAAGCCAGGCAAGGCTTGATAACATTGATTCCTGCAATGTTAACGCATTCCTGGACTTTCATCTCCTTTCTATCTTTGGTCTTTGTTCCTTTCAGCTGATCTGCTGAGGCTTTATCAGTCCAAGATCTCCTGCTCTCCTGTAATTTCACCTACCTGGCCTTGTATGGCACCAATTAATAGCATTCAAAGTTCAGCACTACAGGACCTCTGACCCTTTCCATCTTGTTGTTGGCCTTGGAAAGGGGCTGCTGCTTTTCCTCTCTTCTTTCTCTAGGGAAAATCACAACCCAGCTATCTTGGCACTTTGGGGGATTCTTGGGCTGGCCCTCCTGCTCTCCTTGGGGACGGGCATTCTGCTACCTCCTCTCCCTCTCATTTCCCTTAAGAGCAGCCCACCTTGGCCAAACCTGAAGGTCTTGCTGGAAAGGAGAGGTTTTGCACATTCTTCCAGCCATTTCAGAACCCCTCCCTTTTTAGAACATGAGGACTTGGCCCAATGTATAGAGGAGTCTCACTAAAGGGGCGAGTTAAGCAGTAAAATAAATTTGGTTTTGGTTTAGCGGGATGTCTTTGCAGATCATGTGAACCCAGCTACTTGTGGCTAAGTCAGGCCATGGTTAGGTGAACTAGGGTTCAGTGCAATGTATGGGTTGGGTCAGTGAGTGTAGAGATGTCATTTTGAAACCACATGGAGAAACTTTTGTTTCATTTTTAGGGGAAAAGGGAAATTTGAGGGAAAACTGAAATACAGCACATGGAGTAGTCATTTCTGTTGCACTATTTTTAAAAATTTATTTTACTTGGGCTTCTGTGCTGCTTCAGTCAGAATATGCTGAGCAGCTTATAGCCCTGTGTACGATCAAAGGGTAAAAGCAGTGCCAAAAACCGTAAACAAAACACTCCATGTGCCTACCCCTTGTGGTGATTCAACCTTCCACCCCATCTCCAAAGGCCTCCAAAAGAGCCAGATTCTTTGGATGCTTAATTGAAAAGGGCAGTTCTTATATCTTGAGGCTGTTCCATCGTCTGTAAAACTTGACATCAAGGTCCATGAAGATGACATTCCTTTGGTGGCAGGGCCTTTAACATAACTGATCTCACCAGATTCCACTTGGACCAGGAGGTCTCTAAAATACCCAGACCATAAGCCATATAACGCTTTTGAAGTGACAACTGCAACCTTGAAGCACTCCTGGAAGCTAACTGGCAGCCAGTTGAGTTCCTGGTGTTGGTTGAGGTGTCACATGACATACCCATAACTCCTGGGGCTGCCATACACTGAACCACCTGCAGCTTCTGAATGGTCTTCAAGGGTAGCCCCACACAGAACACACTGCAGCAGTCTAGACATGAAGTGATAAGGGCATGAGTGGCTGTCAACAAGTCTCTCATTCCAGGAATGGTTGCAGTTGGCAAAAGCCCTTTTGGCTACATCTGTGAGTCTCAGACTGCGGGCTAGTTCTGTCCAGGGTGGCATAACCCCTGGATTTAAGAGCTAAAGATGGAACTCTCCAGAATCAGTAAGTTACCAAATTCACAGCCATTCCATCTTCCTGGATGAAGCCTAAGCCTGTTTTCCCCATCCTGACTAACAGTAACAGCATCGAGGTATTGGAAAAGAACCTCCCTGCACCTTCTGTTCAGCTGCAATGGTAGTTTGTTTATTTTATGGTATTTGTAGGTTGTCTAATCAGTTAAGACTGGGAGGTGAATAAGCAAAGAAAAGAAAATTAGGCAAATATAAAACATTTGCTCTAGTCTTATGCAACAGTCAGGGCTTGCCAGTATGTGTGGACACTCCATCACCTTGGTAGGAAATCTCAGTATGGAGGATTTAGCAATAATTCCTTGAAGTCCACTATCATTCTTGTCATCAATTTACTCTGACTTACTCAGCGTAATTCCTGCTGATAGCCTGGATCTTCTTTTATGCTTTCTGCTTTGTAAAATGTTCTTGAGTGCTTAAGTTCGAGCTCTTAATTTTGCTGCAGAAAATGTTTAACCCCCCAAAATGGATCTTGGGGTGGGGAGAGAAGATGGGCATGGACTGAACAGCTTGCTGTAGGTGAATGATTCTCCAAAAAGAATTGGCTAACTGCATTTGGAGAGCTGAGACAAGCTGGTTGTGCGACTCACCAAAGGGTGACATTAGCTTGGTAATTCACAGGGTATTACGTTGGAGAAAGAAGAACTACTTCTTAGACGCACACATACACATATTTATATATTCCTTTTTTGGGGGGGGGGCTTCAGGTGGTGACTGGCTAGACAAGTCCCTGCAGTTTTCTTGGCAAGATTTCAGAAGTGGTTTGCCCTTTCCTTCTCCTTCCTAGGGCTGAGAGAGAGTGACTGGCCCAAGGTCACCTGGCTGGCTTTGTGCCTAAGATGGGACTAGAACTCACAGTTTCCTGGTTTCTAGCCTGGCGCCTTAACCACTACACCAAACTGGCATATATATATATAGCTATACCAAAAATGCACATGTCAGATTTCCAAGTTTCAGAGCCTTTCGGCTTCATAGATGGTAAAACATGTACTATCAGAAATTAGCCTGGGAACAGCTTGACAACAACTGCAGACCAATTACATTCCTAGATTCCTTTCAGACAACTTTCACTGACCTAAAGTCTTTTATGTTAGACCAGTCTCCAGCAGTGTTAGACAATACCAGTCGTGCCTGTCTGACAGAGCAGTGGCATCAAGTTGATGCATGATGGTATAAGGTAAGCATTGTCTTGCAGCTTGGTGGACAGATCTTCATATGCCACTTCCAAGAAATTCCAGCATTTCCCTCTTGCATTCACCTAGTACCTGACAGTGTCATCCCCGCTATGTATTGTCCAATGTCTCTGGTATTAGCACTAAATGAAAATGTAAAAATGCTATTTGTTGCCTTGATAATGGAGAACACAGGTTGGGAGAAGAGAAGAGTTTGCTTCAGTGTGGTGTAATTATGTTGGGCGGAGTGATTAACTTTCAGTTTCTGGGTTTTGGACATTATAATAATCTCTTGATATTTTTTACCATTTGGCAACACATCCATATATTTAAGTTGCTTGTTTAAAACTATCCTATGATATACCTTGGCCATATACCTTGAAGGTATATTATATATATTAGTTTCTTTAGAACTAATGAATCATTGTGCCAACATGTCAGAAAGTGGTGAGTTGGATCATTGATTGGTTCTTTACTTCTGTGGTTCTAGGAATCCTATTTCCACTGGACCTTTGGTGTAACAGAGGCCGACTGCTATGGAGCCATTGAGGTTGACACTGGAAACACCATCCTCTTCATCCCAAGGCTTCCAGAAAGCTATGCTGTTTGGATGGGAAAGTAAGATGCTTGGCTCTTTCTTCCAAAATGGATGCTTTTTGGAAATGTTTGTGTAATGGGCTGAATAGTTTAGAAAACAAATGTTCTATAATCTTGGGAAATCACTGGTATTTTCTTTTTGGAATGAAAATGTTTAGCTGTGTTTTTTTTTCTTTTTAATATTTCCAAGTTTGCTATCAGGTATCTCGGGTACATTCCTGTTTTGGTTTTGCTGGTTTCACACATGAGGGGTGGTGAATTGGGCACCCATTGGGCGTAGCACTAATGCCCTCTGGTCTCTTGGAGGAAGTTGCCTGAGAAGATTGGTATCCATCACCTTCTCTATCAAATCTGAGCATTTCAAGAATTCAGCTGGAATGGAATAATGTAATTTGGTGAAACCAGTCCACTGGAGTTGAGCTACCATAACCCAATGTTATGGAAGCTTGCATTTTTTTAAACAGATTAGAATTGGGAAGGGTAATAAATAGAAATGTGCAGAAATTAAGTGGTGACTAAAAATGTCCCTGTAATGTTTAGGTCAGTAGGAAAAAACTAATGGAAAGGAAAGGAGGGAGGGGGTTATGGATGAAAAGCAAGCAGGTCTTTAGAGCTGCTGGAAATAGGTGATAGAACTGAACAGGGTGCCCGGGAATGTGGATGCAGGTTGTCCACTTGTAGGTTTCAGACCAGAAGCATCTCTCTTTTTTTTCCTTCTTGTCAAAGAGGGAGGAGAAAATCCTGATCAAACATGGGGATGACACCAAACAGGAAGGCCTAACTAATGTCTTCAGAGGAGGAATGAAATTAAGACTGGCTTTGCTGGAATAGAACTTGGGCTTAAATGAACAAGGTGAAAGTCATCCAGCTTTTGGAAATGTTCTTCTGATGTCTGAAAAGAACGCAGCTGCTCAGGGAGAGCCTTCAGCTGCTCAGTGCTTTCTTCTGTGCCCTGCTCGCTGAACATGCTTGTGGCATCCTTGGCCGTGGCTGTCCTTTGAGCCCCTCATATCATCTTTGTGCCATTTACAGACAAAGTTCCAAAGAGAGAGAGCAGAACAATTCTGTGCCTTGAACCCAAGGTGGGAAGGGGTTGGTTACTTGGGTCCTGTGGTCCCACCATCATTTTGGGGTTCATCTACCAGAGTGGTGGGGAGCTCAACCTTCCTTAATGGAGTAGAATGGAAATCTGGTTGTGGGGAGAAATATACTGATGGGAATGTGCTCCTTGAGCATACTGGCCCTCTTCTTTTAAGCATAGGAGACACCGGTCCCAGTGCAGGTTAGTGCCAGGTTTTCAGCTATGCTGCTCAGATGGAGGGTTTAGCCAGAGAACGTGTGATCTGTGGTCACGTCAGAGAAGGAGAGGTCACCGAAGCAGTGAAGTGATTGTGGAAAAGAAACGCAAGATACCATCCTAAAATTCCTTCACAAACTCATTGTTCTTGCTGTAGCCCACTTAAAGTTTAGGCTAGAACTATTTTTTTGTGTTAAGCATCTATTTTGCTCTCTCCTTCAGCTGGATTGAAGGCAGCTTTCTCTGCAAAACGAGATAAAACAAGATCAGATGGTTCCCTTTCATGATAACCTGAGGAGGAATCTTCTCCTCACCCCACCAGTGAGATCAAAGGAAGCTTGGACACAGATTTCTTTAAAGGGCAGATTTCTTTAAAGTTCTCATCTGCAGCACATGCACCTAGTGGCTGGTTTCCTTGTGATTCTGCAGAAGGAAGATCTTGAGCGTGGCAGTTTTGCACAAATGGAAAGAGGAGGATACCGTTTTAAGAAAGGGAAAGGAAACTAATCCAAATCCAAAGGAGCAGAAGTTCCTTTTTCTTAAGGATCAGCAGATGCTTGCTGTATTTTTACCCTAGAAAAGGTGACAAAGAATAATTTAAGCTTTTGCACAAAATACTGACATTTGAGGTGCACTGTAATGGCTCGTGTTTGCTGTAGATGTGATCAGTCCTGACTGACAGTGAAGCCTATTAAAAAGGGGACACTTTCATGTTTCCAGCTCAGAGAAGGGCTGGGCTTTTCCAGCAGATGCTGCTCTCTGCCATTTTGGGGTTCCCTTTTATTGGTAGTAGCTGTATCCTGTTCTCCCAGGAGAGGGAGAATGGCACTGGGAGTGATACCTGCCAAGTTTTCTACCCACTGTTCTGTAAAGTTCTAGCATCTTTTTTAGCATTCCCCTGGAGATTCACACGGCTCCCACCGTACAAGGGTTCCATAAGGCTTGGAAAACTCAGCTTTGCTCCCAGGCCTGTGGAGGCCCTGGCAGTTTTCTTTTATAAAGTGGTAGGTGATTTTGTCGTCGCGTACACATCCTTTAATTTTTTTCCCTTCCTTTTAACAATATAAATGGAGTCATTTGGGAGTCAGGCAGCCTTCCCAATGTAAATTAAGAATAAGTAAGAATATCTCTGTTCCCCAAGTAGTAAAATACTAGATGACTGCAGGCTTGGAGGTGAGCCTGGGTGGAGCAAAAGTGATAGCCGAGAGTCTCTGGGAGCTAATTTGTATTCTGATTAAGAGTTTTCTGATTTTGGTGTCTGGCTAAACCCTTGTAGCAGCTGCCCATTCTGTCCTGCTATGAAAGCCCCCACAATATGCTAGGTCCACCAGCCCAAAAAGGTTGCCTGTGTCCAGGGGCATCTGCAAAAAAGTCAAGGTAGCGGTTGCAACTGTGCAATTCAAATCCTGCCCACTTGTTCACATATGCAATGTCAGTGTATGTATGAAAGGGCAGGGCTTTGATCACACACTCACAACTGCCATCTAGACTTCTTTGGCCCCTTCCTGTGGATACTCCACTGTGCCCCTGTATCCTGTAAGTGCATGAGATGGTGTCATTTTCAGGTAGTCTTCTTTTCTCTTCTCCAAACTGGGACTTTCCAAGTTTGTTGGAACAATGCTGGTGGCCAGTGAGATGGAAGATGAGTAGAATAACATGTTGGAGAAGATTGACTGAAGATGTTGCAAATGTCAGTGACTTCTGTGTTTGCTAGAATGATTAAAAAATGTGGAGAAGTGGTTTTTTAAAATAACTGTGACGTTTGCAGCAATGCTCCTCCAGGTTTTCCGTCTCCAAGTGTACTTTATAAGCAGCTCCTGACTACTTTCTTTTGTCCGTGACTGTTGATATGCTGGCTCATCTCCCTGCTCCATGAATTTTGTTTTTTTATTTGCTATTGTAGCTAATATCTCTAGTTCTTGGAAAGCATGGAGCCACGTTGCTAGTCATTCCATCTTTCCAAATCGTAATTGCATTTTTGCTGTGTCTAACAAGTTGTAAATTTTTGGCCTCAGCACTGTGCTTAGAACCTGGAATTGTTTCTATTTTAATATTGTGTCTTTTTTGGATTGTGTGGGTTCTAATTTAAGTGATTACTCTTCTTGAAATGCTAATTCCAGATTGAAGCTACAGTTGCAGTCATTCCCACATGGCACAGAGCTTTGGAGAAACCCTACGGCAGAAAAAACCTGCTTCTCTCACTGTGCGTGGGAAGGATGCAGGAGTGTTTGCAGGGGGCGGGGAAGTAAAATCAAGAGTGAAAAGGATAGGTCTTTGATCATGGCCTCTATCTTGACTTTAATATCCCCTCTACCCCCGTGGATGCCCCTGGAAAGATAATTGTCTTAATGTAGCTCTGGAGTAGGTAGATGTACCTGTATTAGCAAAACCGTGCCTTGCTTTAAACTTGCAGAAAAAAAAGAGTAAAAAGTAAAAAGTTCTGTCTTCTAGCTTGGCCTTTTCTGATGGTACCTGGTGCTGAAAATGATAGCCATGGTATAGGTCTTCTGTTTTTTGATATGACCCCAAACCAACCCACTTACTGGTGTTGCTCCTAAGTTTCTCATCAGGTCACTAATATGAGAAGCAGGCAAACAAGTGCATGATAATGTGACAATTTGCTATGTGTTACCGTGTTTGACATTACATATGTTACCTGGCATTATGGAGTACCGTTTTTGGTAGCAAACTTGTTAATGCATATAGTTCTCTCATTTTTATTTATTTGGAGTCCTTGCCTGAAAGCTGGTATAAATCTAGTTTGTATAGCATGGGAAGCCATGGCATTAATCATGATTTGTTGAATAAACCATAAGTGGCAGAATTCACACACATGAAACCATAAACATATTTTAAAAAACAGAGACTGGGTTTGTGCAGCACCTTAAGCTAAGCCCATAATGACTATTGCAAATGTTTCGATCCAAGTTGGACCTGGTTGATTTCCTTAATTAAAGGACCATTTAAGAAAAGTTTGTTAAAGCCTTCAAAGACCTTATCCCACCCTGGTCCAAGAGGGCACTGCCTCTTCTGCCAATTCAGGATGCTGCAGAATTATGCAGACCCATCAGATATGTGCCTTTGTTATGTGCAGTTATAAAATGGATCCTTCCTCTTTGTTCTTCTACCTGCCTCTGCAGGTTGGTCTGGCCATGGATTCACTTCATTGGCTATCTTAGCTCACGAAGAGAGGAACTTTTATTTTTTTCCTACTGGGAACTTTCATCTATATACACAAATATCCAAAGACCCCCTAGTCCCAGAGGGAACAAGATGACAGCATTCTACCCCAAGACCTGATGGAATAATCATGTTTTAATGGCCTTTCTAATAACCAGGAGGGAAGGGGCCCACTGGATATTGGGAGAATGTTGTTCCACAGAAGGTGGGCAGCAATTAAGGCCTCCTTCCAAAGTCTCTGGAGATGGCCTTCCCTGAATGAAGGGGCTGGAGGGGACCTGTTCTACTAGAATGAATTGGATGGGCAGATACTAAGGGGAGTCCCACACAGTTTGGGGAGGTATTCTGCAAACTGCGCAGACTAACCTTTTATTGGCTCACCAGGTCCTAAATGGAAAAGTGGGGCCTTGCTGTCTGTAAGGTTGTTCGTAGACTCATAAGGAGTCAAGTGACCTTTACCTAAACAGCTCACAGTTGCAAACATACATGTGCGTACACACACACACACACACACAGAATTTCTGAGAAAAGACCAGCACCTTCG